AGGCTTTCCTTCCTTTCTTCTTTTCCTTTCCTTGTTTTGCTTTTTTTCGCCTTCGCGCTCTGATTCATAGTGTGACAATATGTTATAAACAGTTTGTCACAGCCCCTCGTTTGTTGTCCTCTTCTCTCTCTCTGCCTACGGTTTACCGGGCAGTTCTATTTGTGACGATATATATATTTTTGTGACGATATATATATATATGGTGTGCGATCCACATGCTGAGCCTTACGTTGCAGAGTGCGCAGTCAAGAGCAATCATGTCGCTCAGGTTTGTGGGTGTTATCCTTGCGCAGTAGGGGATGCTAATCTTCTATGTATCATTCCAATTTTAACTGGATCCCCAGAGTAAACATCTCTCAGTTGAAGATTTTTTCAATCTGGAAGCATCAAATTGTTGGTGCTCCGGAGTAGAAAATTACATTTACTGAATTTTACTCTGAGGTTACGTGATCCATAGCTGGAGCATGGATAGTGGTTAACCACACGAGAAACAGAGGGGGTCCGGGGATCTCGGATCCAGCCCTTCAAATACTGCCCCTGCTGAATGCTGTGTGCTCCTACGGTTTGGTTCTCCATGTTTAAGGAGGCATCATGGAAGAGGAAGTGTAGGCAGGAGTGCAGGGGGTCCGCTGTTTCTGTCTCTGAAATGGCATCCATCTGTTACAGCAAAGGAAACTTTGCACAAAGCAAGGATAAGAGGGCTAGACAAGGGACCTAGTTTAGTTAAACTGACAGGTCAACTGTCCAAGCTGAGAGGAACATTCTGAGTCCTGTTTTTTCTTTTGGGAGATGCATAAACAGAGGGGGACTATGAAGCATCATATGCATTCAATCCCTCATGGAGGAGGCAATCAACGCTGTGGGGGGTTCTCCAGGGTGGAATCGGGAGCCCCATTGTATTTCTCTGACTTACTGGTGGTCTCATGTTAAATTTGGCAGGTTTGGGAAAGCAACCTGAGAGTATAGGTAGGGAAGGCAAGCTGACAATCAATCCTCCAGACATCTGGAGTAATCAATGCTGTTCAGGGGTCCTTTGGCCGTATGGAAGGAAGCGTGAGGGTGTTCTTGTCGTATATCTGACTTGCTGGTGGAATAGGAACCGGACTGATGCTTCCCAGAATGGATATGGAGCCAGGGCTATAAGGTCCGTTTTGTTTTGTTTTTGCTCTCCAGACTCCAGAACAGAATGGACCAGTTGGCCTATTTTTTTTCTCTTTAATCAATAGCTAGTTAGTCTCGTGATTTTGTCCAAGGTATGCCCGAGGTTGGATCCCAAAATTGCAGTCCATTGCCATTTTCGGCTAATTATGTGGGTTTACACAGGCCATTTTCAGCTAATCGGATGGTATAACACACAGGTCATGCGGATCTGCCCCTCCTGTGCAGGTTGCTTCTGACATCTGGGCGCTGCCAAAAGATAAGGATGTGGAGTTCTTACGGATAAGCTCTCATCAACTTGCAGCAGCTGTTCGTGATGAAGCCCGTGGGTGGGTGAATGCAATAGGAGCAAGCATGGCGTTGCTGGATGCGCAGCGTGTTAAGGATGTGCAAAGCAAGATGGACAAGCTTGATGCTGATCTCAACCGGGTGTGTTTGACTTCTCCCCTTACTTTGCCCTCTGCAAGGAAGATGAGCAATAGCAAACTTCAGCAATCAAACAGCATCATACACATGAGACCAGATAGTCGTGACCTCGAACCAAAAGCAGAATTGCATCACGAGTTTCATCAAATAAGAGCACACCAAAAGCTCATAATTGACAATGCTGGAATAGTCTCATCATCATCAACGAAGAACCAGTGTTGATATCCTATCTGGCGCTCGGCGCCCAGACTACGAATGGCAGATCCTATCTAGCCTAGACTACAATGCCGCTGATGACGTCAACAGCTTCCCAAGTACGAGCAGACCTCGGCCAATGCCGAACGCATCTAGCACCAGGTATGTCTCTCGTGTCACTCACAACCTCGTTCCCCAACTCACAGATGCCACTTGCACCCAAGGACCACCATGTGCCCCATCCAGCATACAGCAGCGCAGCTCGGCTATGGCTGCCTGCTCCTTCCAGCTCGCCCGTGAGCGGGTGAGCCTGGCAGGCGATAGCACAGCAGCGCTTGCGCACAAAGCAACCAGTGCCCGAATATCCAATGCGTAGGCAGGCCCTTCCCTATATTGAAGTGGCCTGCTGCTGCATGCTGTGCTGCGGTACTGGGCCCCGGCCCAGAAGCTTCCGGTAGGCCCCACGAGGCTGAGCGTCCATACAAAGGAAACACGCCCAGGGCCTGTGGTGGTTACTAGTGCCCAACTGCCCGCAGCCTGAGTCGGGTCCATGTTGTGAATCTCGCCCAGGGCCTGACTCAAATGCATTTGATAAAGAAGGCCAGGGCCTGGGCGCTTCCAACCAACTGGCGCTGTGCAACTGCCTGAATTTTCCCCAATTGCGAAGTAGTCCAAAATAGGCCTCTAGGGTCTGTCGAGCCTGCCTTCACTTAGGGTGGCCGACGCTGTTGCAAATAGGGGCCCAGTAGGGCTTTTCGAGTCCCTATGCCTCGCATTCCCTCCTCCATACTTCGCTAGTCCTCTGAGAAGTTCAGTCTTCGATAATCTGGCGGTTTCCTTTCTGCAGAGACTTCTCGTAGTGAGCGACAACCTGTGGGGCGGTCTGCATCAGTTCCTCCCTTGTGAACCATCTATCCTCCTTTGGATCAGTGTGATGTCTGAACCGAACTCGATACCGCAGCTTCGGTTTTGGAGGACGTCCCCTGCCAGTTGGTCTTGGAACTGGCATCTCTCTGTGATCCACGATTTCATCAATGTCGACCTCTCCATCCATGGTTGGGGGCAGCATTGAGCGTCGAGAAGGGAACTGGTCAGTTTCTTTGAATGGTGCAAGCTTAGAGGCGTGGAAAACAGGGTAAGTGCGTGACCAGGGATGTGAATAACATAATAAGGGCCATCCGCTTCATCCCCAATGACATCTAGAACCTCCCAAGGTCCAAAGTACTGTGGCATGAGCTTGCGGGAGATTCTGTGCTCCTGTCCCAGTTCTGAGGACTTAACCCAGACTCTTTCTCCTACCTGGAATGTAGATGGGCGGCGGTGTTTGTTCTTTGACTCTATCATCGCGGCCTATGCTTTATGCATCTGTTCAACAGCCTGCTGCATCAGTTGCTCATATCGATAAGCAAACTCTAAGGTCCCTGGTGCAGCAGCAGACTGGTTCTCGGGTAATAAGAAATCCAAGGGCAGTCTAGGCTTGAAGGTCAGTAGCAGACTGTTCGGGCTCACTCCCGTAGCGCTGTGCACAGCATTGTTGTACAGGCTGGCGATGACAGCGAGTTTCTCATCCCAGTCTACCTGATTTGGCTTGATGTAATGCCTCAGCAGGTGTTGTACAGCGTGGTTCAATGGTTTTGCCTCCCCGTTCGCTTCTGGGTGATTGCCTGATGTCATTTGCAACTGCGTGCCCTGCTCTGCAGCCGCAACTTTCCACAGTTCACTAGTGAATCGCACATCCCGGTCACTAATTATAGACTTGGCAGTCCGAAATCTCTGACCCAGTTCTCCTTGAACAGCTTGATCACATACTCAGTTTTAGCTGTTGCAGGCATTGCGACTAACCTAGCGTACTTACTAAACCTATCCACAATGACATAGACATAGTGCATTCCAATCTTGCTGGTGATCAGCGTATCCATAAAATCCATGGAGAAACTCTCACCAGGCCTTTTCGAAATCGGAAGGGGCTTCAAAAGCCTGAGAGGAGCCTGTGTATGTGGCTTGTTCCTCTGGCAGACTTGACAAGTTTCCACGTACAGCTTCGCGTCTCTCATCATCGTGGGCCACCAGAACCGCTGCAACAAATTGGCTGCAGTCTTCTTGAAACCAAAATGGCCGGTGGCGTCATGACATTCTCCTAAAAATAAACTGCGCAAGGACTCTCTATTAGACACACACAAACGTTTATTCCCAGCCTTCTCAAGGAACAGCAAGCCGTTGACCAACTCAAACTCGGCAGAAGTCACTTTGTCCTTTGCCTCGAGTCTGCGAATGATCTCAGACATAAACGGATCCTCGCGATAGGCTTGCGCCATGGAACAAGTGACATCGTCCGCAAGTCCAAACTCAGTAATCAGCGCACTAGAGAAATCAGGTTTACGCGACAACGCATCAGCAACCTTGTTGTACTCACCCTTGATATACTGGGGCTCAAAGTCATACTGCTCTATGACTTCAATACAACGCTTCAGGGCGTCGGAGAGCACAGGCTGGGTCCTCATCCACTTCGGGGTCTGATGATCAGTCCTGACGTAAAAGAACCTCCCTAGGAGATAATGTCTCCAATGGGTAAGCGCCTTGTAGATCGCTTAGAGCTCCTTCTCATAGGTGGACTTAGCCAACTTTTGAGAGGGCATCTTTTTGGACATGTACTCAACTGGCCTCAACTTTGGCCCCTCCTGCTGCGCTAGCACGGCGCCTATGCCATATTGGCTAGCATCCGTGGTTACTATGAATGGCTTGTCAGGATCGGGAAGTTTCAAGACCTCATGATGCGTCAACGCATGCTTCAGTTGTGTGAAAGTAGCCTCGCATCTGTCGGTCCACTCCCAATCAAAGGGGCGGCAACTATGCTATAGTTCTTCACAAAATTGTGATAGTAGCCGGTCATCCCTAAGAAAGACCTCATCTCAGTCACAGACTGAGGACGCGGCCAGTCATGAATGCTGGCCACCTTCGCGTCATCGGGCTTCAGACCCTCCGCGGAAATCTTATGACCCAAGTACAAGATACGGGAGCGGCTAAACTCACACTTCTCCCCGTTTATCTTGAACTTGTGCTGCCGAAGGAGACTGAGGACTTTGTCCAAATGAGCCACGTGCTCCTCGACAGTCCTACTAAAGATAAGTATGTCATCGAGGTACACGATGACAAATGTATCCAAGTAGTCATGAAAGATCCTATTCATAGTGTGCTGGAAAAAAAAAAAAAAAAAAAAAGGTGCTAGGAGCATTGCAAAGGCCGAAAGGTATCACGACAAACTCGTACAGACCGTACCTGGTTTGAAAAGGGGTTTTGTGTTGATCCTCGGGCCGGATTGCAATCTGATGGTACCCGAACTTGAGATCTATCTTACTGAAGTACCGACACCCGTGCACTCTATCTAGCAAATCGTCGATGCGTGGTAGGGGCTCTCTGTTCTTGACAGTGATGGCATTGAGGCCCCTATAGTCAATGCACATCCTCAGAGTGTCTCCCTTCTTAGGTACGAATAGGACTAGTGAACCATAAGGAGAGACACTCGGTCGGATCCACCCCTTCTCTATGAGTTCCTTGAGTTGTCGGCGAAGCTCATCAAGCTCGCCTGGAGACATCCAATAGATCCTACCCTTCGGGATGCTAGACCGTGGGATAATCTCTATTGCGTGGACGACCTCCCTCTCAACAACCCCTGTCGGCTCTTCAAATAGATCAGGGTACTTAGCAACTACTCCCTCTATCTCTGGCGGCATTTTCACTGGCTCGCCTGCTGCAGAGACAAACTAGATACATACCCTCCTCCAGATTTTGCCTATAATAATTATAGAATGCGGCCGCACACATGCATCCGTGAGACTCAATCAGACTACTAGCTTTGAACTTACGTAGTGTGGCGGTCCCTCCACCTGGCAAAGTGTGTTTGACCACTTTTCGGTCCCAGTCAAACTGGGGCTGTGCCACGGAGAGGTAGTACATACCTAACAAGATATCCATAGGGAGATCATCGCTCACTAGTTACGAGACGCGATGTCTCAATTCCCGTCCCTCGTATGGTAAACAACACCAACATCCTGGAGGTAGTCGTTGACTACCATGCGCTGTTTGTTGGCACATGTCGACTCCACAGGTTGACTCAGGCGCTGCACTCGCCCCTATAAGCGCAACCTCTCAACGCACGCGCGACTGATGAAGTTCCTAGTCGAGCAAGTGTCATAATAGGTCCCGGCCTTGCGGCCGCCGACGACTACCTCGCCAACGGACATCTCTCCCTTAAGGGCTTTGGCTAATGTCGTCCAAGAAGCTAGTGGGTCTGATCTAGACCACTCCTCCTTAGCTCCTCTAAGGATTCAAACACGTTCATCAACAGAGGCTCGATGGGTCTGAACGTGTTTGCGGGACGACGATGGAGTCAGTAGCTTGGGCCATCTCTGGAGATGGTGAGGGTGTGTCCACCACCTCAACACTAGCAAGAACAACTACCATTCCTACTGGCCCGACGCGTTTCCCGGAGCAGTGCCAGAACTGCTAGCCACATTGCTACCAACGGAAGCGGAGGATCCCAACGCCTGCCCCATTGTAGGCGGGATCTTTTCGGTCACCTTCTTATTGCGGCACTTGAATTGGTTGTGGCCATATTGGCCACAACGAATACAGGCCTGCCTGGTGTACCTGTCTCTCCACACGTCCTCGGTAAGACCCGCTTTCTTCCATGGGGGAGCATTGGGGTCAACTTGACTCCTTGACCGGGAACCTCCTCGGCGTCAACCGGTCGCCTTTCCTTTTTGAGCTACGACAACGACTACTCCATCCCCTGAAGCCTCTACGCTGCCAGCCTCTGAACCTTCTCCCTCCTGGAAGTTGTCATCTAGCTCGATGGTTGAACCATCGTTATCGACAAACATAATGCGACCCTTCGCCTTCCAGTTGGGAGGCAGTGTCTTTTTCCTACCATCCGTCGTGGGTGTTTGACCATGCCCTATCTTTGCTTCTAGGTCTAGGGCCTTCTTGCTAAACGACGGGAAGTTATGCATGTTGATGTTGGCCTCACCTGCCAACTTATTCCTGAGAGGCATTGGAAAGCATCTCAGGTAGGAGGTGAGTAATACCTGGGGGTCATAGCGCACCCCAGGGACACGGATCAGACGCTCTACTGCGTCAGTGGCTTCCCTTACTGACTTAAACTGCCTTGTATGCAGCGTGAGGATCGCATCTGTGGCCTTTTGGGCCTCCTGAGGATCATGCCACCTATCTTCCACCATCTTGAGAAAGTCCTCCAGTTTCTGGTGGGCTGCCCAAGCGCGGAAGTCATGACCGTACCCCTGCAACTGCACTAAACCACTTAACCATCTTGCTGCACTACCCTGTAGGTAGGATGCAGCCACAAGCACTTCCTCGTGTGGCAAGGTAAGTTTACACTTAACATAGACTGGCACTGCCCTCAACCACATGTCGAGGTCTTCGCCCCTCTTATCCCCTGTATAGGGTTTCGGAGCGGCCATGGTCGTCTTTGGTACCCACTGACTTTGTCCCGGTCCCTGCATCACTCCGGGGTGTGGACCCTGTGGTGCAGGATGTTGCGCTGACTGTTGGGGCTGTGTACCCTGCAGGTGTGTGGGCTGCGAGACAGCAGGCTGCCCGTTTACGACAACCTGAGATGGAGGTTGGGAGAACACTATCTGTACAGGAACCTGCAAACTAGGACCTGGTGAGAACCCGCCTGTCAAAGGCATACCTAGGGAAACAGGCTGACCGGTGGGACAAAAGGAGGAGGATGTACAACGGGCCAGGCACCGGGCCCGGACGGTGATGGTGCCGCCTACACTCGCCCGACGAACACAGCCAGACTCTGTTGGATGTCCTGTAAGATCTCCATCTGGTGATCTTGCATCTCTACTACACTTAGCAAGACCGACCGTATGGTCCTCCCATCATCCTCCAACTCTGCAGGGTCCATCTCCTCTAACTCACTGACGTCCGCTTGCCTCCACTGCATCCTGGCTCTTCTTCTAATGGTTCTTTCTTTTTCTGCTTAATCTCTCCTAAAGCCTGTTGTAGCTGTGCCTTGCGATCAGCAACTCGTTGTATGGCGACCTCCTCAGGAGTCGGCACTAACGGCTGGCTTGCCATTAAGCCAGTTGACTGACTCTGGGTCTGCGCGAACGTTGACCCTACGGATCCTGAACTGCTAGCCTGGGAACTCTGCTGCGTAGAAGTGGCCATGGTTGTTGAAGTTGTGGCTTCGCATACGAACGCCCTGCTGACCTCTGTTGCTCTAGCTCTCCTGTGCTGCTGCTGCCTCTCCCTAAGTTGGCGGAACATAAATTTGTCACCCTCTGGTCCTAAGGCCAAGTGGGCAATCGGACATCTCGCCGATCGCAAGATCCGGTCGTCCGGTTGTGGGACCTCCCTGTCACTCATAAGCTACAACACTATGCACAATTTGCACTAGGACACTCTAAATGCCCACCGCATCATAGTGCACAGACCAATTTAAAAGTAAATAATTGGTGGTTGTGTCAGAGACTATCCATTCGGGTCCAACAGGTAAGTTCATGTTCCTACAAATGAAACTACTTTGATTTTGACTAGTTCACAAACAGAGAGCACAATGAACAAAAACAGTTCTAAACTATGTTGTCTGTTAGATGTTAATGGTTGTCATCTAACTAATCAAAATAAAAATGGAATCGTTTGTTGGGTCTGTTTACAGAGTGGGATCTTTCCCAAACTTATCACCTGGAATCTACCCCTCCCTCAATTTTTCTTTCATGTCTCTTGTCGTCAACGTCCCTAAGCGATCCAGAAAGTGTGCGTGTCTAAAGGTGTGCACACGGCCCACCCTTGTGCCCCGAGTCCTGCTGAGCTGGCCGGCCCTGCACAGTTTTTATCCTCGCGTGCAGCGTGCCTTACACCAAATGATTGGCTGATCAGGAGGCGTTTTTATGGACGGCCCCCGAAGTCCTCAGGAATTTTTTAACGTCGCAGACAGAACGACGATCACAGCCAATGGAAGGTACCCCGCCGGTGCTTATTCATAGACGTCCGGTGTCGTCTATCCCATAGGGCTGGCCTGCCCCTCATAACCCCTCTACAGCGCAGCGAGCAGACAAAGGACAAAGCAACAAAGCAGCAAAGCATGCGTTGTAGGGCCAAACCCCGGTAGACTTTTGAGCCTTAGTCGACCCCGCTGCGGGTCCTAGTTGGCTCGGCCCGCCCACACTCATGCTCAGGGCGCGGGCCATTCGTCCCAAGGTCAACCCCACCTAGTGCTTTGAGATGGATGGGGGTGGGCCATCGCGCGAGAGAGCTTTGACATTGGGGATGTAGCTCAGCCCTCATGCCGGGTGGTAGTCTCGCTGGTCGTTCCGCAACGCTGATTTTCTTTTGATTCTTTATTGTGTTCTCAAGCAACTGCTCCTTCCAATACGCAGGCAGTCCAGGGGTTCTTTGAGCCTTTCTCTTCTCTTGTGCGTGGGCTAAGCGTCATCCTTAGGCCACGCACCATTTCCCTAAGCATTTTGGCTATATCGCGTCATCGGGGTGCGGTGGGGCCGTCCTTCCCCTCGCCTCTACGCATCCATCGGATCTCTCAATTTGCTTCCCACCTTATTGAAGTAGGCCCCTTAGTCTTTTCGGGGTCCTCATATGCATGCACACACAACACCACTTTTTCCTTGGCATGACAGCACTCCCATTTGCACCCCAAGTCTTCAAACGCACAAGTCATATCCATGGGGTAGTTCTATGTCAAGGGTCTCATAGCCCCTACGCCCTCTTCCCTTTCCCTCTTGATGCCCGGTTCCACTTGCCCCTATCC